ACATTAATTTTGCATAACGGCAAAATAAAATATTGCGCTGGAATGGATTTTATCATGAGGCGAGCAGCAGCAGATCTGCGCCATCATCATTAAAGTTGTTTGGGAAGCCAGAAAAATGACACTTGAACGATTATAAGATGCTGAAAAGATCTCGTTCTCTCATAACATTTTGATGTAACATAATCAATTTCAGGAAATCAAAACGTTATGTATTTTATGACATTTATAAGACATTAATTTGCAATTAATAAGCCATTATATTTCACCCTTTTCATCTGCAAGCCACTGCAGCTGAAAAGAAATCATCTCATCCATCGCCATCGCAGAAGGAGATGTTTTTAATTGTGCCAAATTGATGGTGATCGTTAAGATATTCGAGACATGATTGATTTGTTTATGAAATCCATCAGTTAGAAATTTGAAATTTCTCCACGTCTCTTGGTGATTGTGATGCAAATACTTCCCTGGCGAGAGATGCTCTCCAAGGTGTACAGTTATCATGTGTGGAATCTCAAGATAGAACAACAGTTTATGGCTGATCATCACAATGCTGGGAGTTTAATTCAATGATCATCGTGCACGTAGAAAATGGCAGATGGTGTACTATTGGAACATTCCCTTCTCATTTATAGCCATGCGATCCCACTTTTCACCTCCAATAAACTAATGCACATAACGGAGGAAAATACGCGCGATCGTCAATTTTATTCGCTCTACGTGATAAACGATCCCAAAATGACTTGCCAGTTATTGTGGGTTTGTGAGTGAAAGAGATGTGCCTCCAGGAAGACAGTATCGTCTACCAATTTTTTCCCTCGTCATTATTTATTTATTATTTATATGTGCAACACCCAGCATTTCTCCGCATCGACGACATGAGAAATTTCTCTCGCGATCGTGAATTTCTACTCAAGAGGCGCCCCGGTCAGAAATGCGAAATTTTGTTCGCGTACAGCACTGAGAATGACAAAAAACCATCCACTCTGCCGCGAAAACACCATCACTTTTGGTGATCTCGCGGAGGTATTTTGCACCATATCGCCAAATATCTTGTAAAATTCCATTCTGTGCCTTGTTGACTCCACTTTTCGCCCGGGCAGCAGTTTATGAGGCGCCTTAAATCAGTTTGTTGAATTTAAAAATGACTAAAGTGCCTCATTATCTTGTGGTGATCAAGACAAGATCATGTGATAAATAATGAGAGCATGGGGAAGGAAAATTTACCAAGCGAAATACACAGGCGCAAAAATATAAATTCAGGCATTTTCTCATGCGCTGAGACTTTTCAATTGTTCCCCATTAACCCATAAAGCATTGAGATTTTTGATGATCAACACTCCATTTGACTCACGAAGAACTTTATTGCTGTGAACGGGTTAAATGATCACGCAGATATCGAGAGCGCGCCCGCAAGTCCTTCAAAATGGGAGTAACTCAGGTGCTTTTCGGTGTGTAATTTGTTCACATCGACCTCAAAATTGGCATCCAGGCTCACAAGGGGATATTTTAAAGCAATTAGTGGTTGAAAAGTGTGTGTCTTAACTATGTAATTACATGCTGTATCACATAGTTGAGCATACTGAAAGGCCTCAAAATCGTCACGTATTCAATAGTCATTTGAGAGATTTTCGCGTCAATTCCTTGCGCGAGACTTTTTCTGCCCCAACCCATTGATGACAGCGGCACAAATAATTCACATTTAATGTGGGTATTCACATGAGTGTCTTTTTCTTTGCTTTTAATTTCACATTCATTTCCCCGCGATGAGGCCATTGGCGATGCGAAAGGGGCAACAAAAACAGCCGTGGACAAATGAAAGAAGTGGCGAAAATGTATGTTTAAGGTGACACACCGGCATCACAAGTGATTTTTGGCTCCAAGGGAAGTCGCCAGAGACGTTTTTTGTCTTTTGCTTTTGCAATCACATCATTGGCACACGAGCGGACTCTTTCCCATAGCCAAGTCTATTGCAAGTGCAGAAAAAAGTAGTTTCACTTATTTCAATTATCCACCTCGTAATCATTAACATCCGTATCTGACTTTTCCATCACTTAATTTATTAAAATGTATGTGTTTAAATGCAGACCTTTTTGCACAACAAAATCTTTGTTTTCAATTCATTGACTCGCATATTTATTGAATTGTTGAGGAATTATTAATTTGATTAGTGGAATTTTTTTTCCATCGCGCGATGTTCTTGTACTGCTTTGCCAAAGGGAGGAATTTTCAATGGACCACAGTCGTGGGAAAATGTTTTTATATGGGAAACAATGGTGGTTATCGAAGGAAAATACGATGAACAATGATCATTGAATATCTTCGATGAATTTCCATTGAATTTTCACTTGATCTCCTTGCCTTCTCTGCGCCCCTTTTCTTCTCAATCATTGAGCATTGATTTTTCGAGAATTTCTCCGCAATTCACCTGTTCTTCTCTTTCTTATAATGGACCTTCTTCTCCGCATCCAATATATATTCAAGATGAAGACTCCAAGAGTGATTTTACAGTAAAATCTCTGACCACAATTCGACACACTTCTTCATTCACCAAGCCTGACCGATCTTGCGAATGTGAAATATTTCTCGCACTGCACATTCAATGGAGGGAAGGAAATTGGGTCACAACCTTTCGCACATCTCGCAATTTTCACAGTTCTATGGGAGTGTTGAATTTCGGTGTGGAAAAGCTGCGGATAATCCAAAATATTCTCCGTGGTGTCGCGACTTTTCGGAATTGTGGCAAAATGCAAGTCAAAGTGGCGCAAATTGCAAAATGCATTTAATCTTCGTGATAGTTCAGAAAAGCGTTGACATTTCGACATTTCATGCCTCAATTCCAACTTTTATGTAATGCGCATCGCAGAACGTCCAATTTTGCACAAAAGTGTGCGATCGTCTTTGTAAATTTATGGCTGAGCATTTGCTGCTTGAGTGTTTCGGAATGTCATTAATTAATAAATGTACCACCTTTGGTATTACGATATATTTCTCAAATTTGTGAATCAATGAGCTTTTACATTAATATTCATTTGGAATTGTTAAGTCTTTTGACTCCCGCACACCTCCATGTATGTCTAACCATCGTGATATCATACAATTTCGTCTGTTTTCCCGTGTTATTATCTGTGCAACAGCGTGTCTATATACGAAAAATTGCATTGCGCACCAGATTTGTGGGTTGATCTCAGTGGTAGATAGTGGAAAAAGTGCGAGAGGTGAGGAATTATCCAAAGATTAATTCATTCGATAATTCACTTTACAGTTGATTTCATAATTACCTAATTAAGACACAGAGTAACATGGCAAAGAATATGCTGAGAAGGTGGAGTAGGAAAGAGCATTACAAAACATACCACATTGAGCTTCTCCATCAAGATGTTTATTTGGTTTTTGGTGCACATTATTGTTGGTAATCTCTTGGTCACGGAAACGGACTCACTCGTGAATGGCTAAAGCTCTCAAAATATTCACAATACACAAAACAATGTGCCGAGAAATTAGCAAATTTCGGTCAGTGAACACAATAGCTCAAATATAATAAAAGTCACAGCATTTTTCTAACCGCCAGTTATGGAATTGAAAGGCAGAGCATAAGAGTTTTGTAAAATGATTTTTCCTCAAACTCTTTCCTCAGCAATTATGTCAATTTGAAGTCTGTTTCTTTCCTCCATTCGCGCACCGTTCAAATTCTTATGTGATCGTCTTGAGGAAGTGCGCATTTGTAGCATACAAAAGTCATGTGTGAAACCACAAGAAGACAATGAACTTATTCACTTTTGTATTAAATTATCTCTTTAGTGTCAATTAACTCTTCGCAGAGCTCGCAATTATTGTCCAGAATGTCACGGTCTTCTTTATCACATCAAACTCACTTCACTCAGTTTGAAAGGTGCAAGAAATTATCCACCTTGCGAGACACAGTTGCACTGTATGAGAATCCTCACGGGGAAATGCACAAGAGATCGCGAGAGGACACGTGCTGATCGTTCGCCTCTGTGTTAGCAAATGATCTCTTGTGCAGGTGCTTCGCTGCTTGGCGCTCTTGTGTTGTTATTTACCTTTCTCGCACCACTTGAAATTCCCACCAAAGCGCAACCGAAGAGAGGAAGAGAATGAAATGGAAAGAAAAGATCGCGAGAAAAGTCGCGAGAGAGGGAGAGCGAGAGAAGGTGAGTTGGAGAGTGAGAGAGATCAATAAATTAACACATGATCATGTTCATTAAAATAATAAAATATTGGAATTCCACGATAGATAGAAATTTAGCCGTGGCTCGAGAGAGAGAGAAAGAGAGAGAGCTTTGGAGTAAAAGTCCGCGAGTCTGGAGGAAAAGGCATAAACACCTCTATACTTCATTTTGTAATTTAAATTGATAGTTGCTTTGCTGGAAGGTCTGTAAATATGTACACTTTCGGTGCCACAATCGTTTACTGAGAAATAGGGATAGTGGGCCTAATCGAGAGGCTTTTCAGTGAATGAATATATGAAATTATGATGACAAATGAGACTATGATATTTATCAGATAAAACGATGTGTTTTAGTAAAAATTTGTTCGAATCTTAGCAAAAACTTCTTTTTACCGTCTCTTACTGAAACCAAATAATCTAACAAATAAAAACATTTGGTAAATAACTCAGTCATATGATCATTAAAAGCTATTGGGCAGCCCCTCGTGCTATACTTTTGTGAATGAATCAATTTATGCGAATTGAAGATTGTGACTATCGCCGAGTATTTTGTGAAACTCTGCGGTCAGTACAGTATTAATTGGGGAGCGATCAAGGGATCGCGCGAGGTCAATGAAAGGATCATTAGAAATTTCGCTGAATGTTATCGCGACAATTGCAGCAGAAAATCTTGATTGATTTCCTTTCTCATCTCAACACACACACACACACAAATGTGTGTTTTCTCTTTGCGCTGCGAACCCAAATATCATCTCGATTTTCTACTTTACCTTGGCCACAAAGAAGTGGAAGCGCGCAAAGAATATTGTCTTACCTCAACACACAGCGCGTGTTTTTTCACGGATCAACGCCAAGACTTTAGACGTGCCAATGAGGCATTTTCTGCTCAAGCGATAAGCCACTTAGTTTCCGATCTCTCACTTTCGTCTATGGTCTCTCTGGAAAAGAAGAAAAATGTGTCAATTTCTCTTGTCACAAAACAAAGTGTAAATATCTTGCAGTCGGCATCTGAGGTATGGAACTTGTGCAATTTGCGCATATGAAAGCCTAATGTGGTGTGTCATGAGATGAAAATCCACTTTGCATACGCCAGACTAATGAAAGTCGTCTCTTAATTCAATTTGATCTTTCTCTAATAACTCCGCACAGTCGGTGTTTGTTGGAAAAGTGTCTAATGTCCCATTCGCTGTGCGCGATCACGCTTTTGATAGGCGATTATGATTATGTTCACTCCATGAGTTTCGTTTCGACGACTTTGGACGCTGTGCGTAAAGAGGTCGATCTATCAGGACAAAACTGATGACTTAACATCTCTCCTCTTTCTAAAAAACCTCTTTCACCGAAGATGGCGATAACGCGTCTCTTGATCTTATGTATATTATGTAAAACAGCAATTTTTGTCACACAAGTGAATTAACATAAAAATCTCGCAATCCCTCGCTTTCAACATTAAGCGCTTGTAATTTACACTTATTCATCTTCATAAATTCATTGACTTTATTTAATATCCTCTGACGGGAGTGTAATTGAAAGATATGACAGCAATTTGTGCAACAAAGTTCTCAACATGACCACAAGTAATCAATTGACATATTTTCTCTGTTCATCGCATCTCAACCCTCTTCAGTCGTAAAGGCGAGTGTATTAAATCACGGAATTACATCAAAACCATCAAAGCCCATTTACATAATATGGTTTTATGGCATTGGAAGCATGAATTAGGAGCTGACGTGATACTTAAAAATCTATAACATTAATAAATGGGATCTGAAGGCGTTGAATTGCATGATGATCATTTTTGGATAGTTTTTCGCTGAAAGATTGCGCATCGCGCGATGACCCGCTTCGATGAGAAAGCTTCAGAGATAAATCTCATTCTATTTCCCGATTTATTACCGAGTAAAATCACGTGCAATATACGGTTTAAAGTGCCTTTCCAATGGTGCCCAAGAAGACGCTCAATAGCGCTGTTGAACATGTAAAACAATCACTATTTTGGCATGTGTAATACGAATGTCTGTTGTGGGATTCGCCCTGAATATCAATTGGGCGGATGTTTGACCCATAGAATGCGTCAATTGGTGACAATATTTGTATATCTGTGGGCACGAATCATTGTTAAATGGGTAATTAGATTTCTTCTTCGACACACTCTTCCACATGTTGACAGGCTGCATTGCGTCAGTCACGAAAGCACTTAAGATAGATCATGATTCCTATGTTGTTTGGCTCTTGGACGGCAAGATTGTTGCGCCAGGAGTAAATTGAGCGCCTTTAATTCAATTCCCGACCAAATCATGCGCATAGAACATTACTTGGTGATTATTTTCCCAGAGAAATTCGCACACATTCAGCCCGGAATTCCACATAGTTGAAGATAAGAGGAATAATCTGTGTGAAAATCGATATTTTTTCAGCAATGTAATCGAATATCGAGAAATGCCATTGTGCTTGCTAATGAAATTCACTTCACGTTGACCTAAGAGAGTGTGCAATTCCATAAATCTCGTTAATATGCAATAAAGAAAATTAACTCATTTGGCTTGACTAAATGAATAAATAATGATGTAATTTAAATTAGTCCGTGAAATCACGTAAAAAGGCTGAATATAACAGTTAGAGGAAGCATAAAAATCGCTCGACGTTGTCTAACCAATATTTTCCTATATTTCTGCTGATGTTGATTCTATTTCAGCGTATTAATTTCTCAAAACATATTTTGAGAAACAACACAAGAGAAATAATACAAATATTTTCACTTCACTCTTCCCACTGAAGAATTCTATTACGCTATTTGATTGATTTCTTGTGAGAAAATCTCTATCTGTGCATGATTGCTTTTCTCTGCAGCATTTGTCTTCGAGGAATATACCGTAAAATTGCAGCCAAATTACATACTAAATGAACTTTCAACGCGTATCTCATTGACAAAGTCGTAAAACGTGATTATTTAGTCTGGCCAATGAGTGGTGTAATATTCTAAGATTAGAACGAAAATGCTCCGGAAAGAAGTTTATGCCCAAAGGCATAAATTTATGGACTGGAAGTCTGGCACAATCTCAATTGCGGTGTCCTTGGTGGGCATGAAAATTGTATGAGTCACACGCCAGATGAAGTGAATTGTGCACTCGTATTGATTTTCCTGCAACCCTCCTGCAAATAAGTGGTGCGCCAAGCCGAATCCTGAGGGTCAAACAGTCGCATTGAATTTGTAAATGTTACATTTTGCCATCCCCTAATGGAAAATAAATGTTGCATTGGCACAACAATCACTCTGTGGTCTTTGCCAAGGAAAAATGTGTCACAGCTCTTAATAACATAAACAATTTTGTGGGAATGTTTTAAATTAAATTAACAGCTCAAGTTAAAGTTTGTGTGTACTTTTCAGCGGAATTCAGTGAAACACTGGATTTTTGAAAACTTCTCAGAATGTCACTCAACAGCGAGACTGTTTTCTCTCTCAAAGAAACTGATAAAGTCACATATTGCTACTCAAGACAGAAAAAAACCTCACAAGACTCTACGAACCCTTCAGCGACTGCATGAAGTCATCAAGAGATTATTGGCAAGGCGCATTTCCCCAGAAAAGAACCCAGGCTATAAATTAAGTTGCTAAATATAAAATTTGTGGCCAAATATGGGAAAGTCACGCCTCATTCACGCATCCCAACCCACAGAACGTGATGACAAAAAGTGTCTGAAAATAGCCCAAAAGCGAATAATACCGAAAAGCCTTCTGCTAAGTGTTTATTTTCATTCAACTCTTCCACACGGGGCGTCGCGCGCCCCGATTCGACTGTAGGTGTGACACTTATGTTTTTGCATTAAACCTCTCCAACCGCGAAGGCTTGAGTGTGTCTTTGCAGACGCCGAAAGAAATAAATTGCACAATATGACGTTTTTTATTCTTGATATCTTGAATAAATTGTGCCCGGAGACGCCATGTGACGAGAAAAAATTCGCTGAACATCTGCAAGGCACGTGCCAATTTATATCACATTTCCCTCAATTCCAGAGTCTCGCTCTAATATGTATAATTGAGAGTGATTTTTTGCACCCCTGAAGCAGTGATGGGCGTGTTACACAGCCATTCTCTACACTCCGTGTGGCTAAACACGTGAAGATGAGTTGAAAAGTGAAATGATGGCAATATAGTTCCACCCCCAGTGTAATTCTTTATGACAGTTTAACACGTTCATCAAAATACATGACATGGACTCACGAAGTCACAAATAACCACCAACAGAGCGCTTCAGTCGGTAAATGCAGTATGGAGATAATTCTAAAAGGTTTATGAGAATGGGATCAGCTTGCTGTTAGAATATATTAAATTTCATATCAATCTAACTCCATGGCGGCTTAACCCTTTCAGGAATAAATGGTCACACCGAATTAAACTTTGAAATGCACAATTTTAAGAATAACAATAAAATTCTGGATCGTAAGTATTGAAAAATGGGTAATTTCAGTAACAAGTTATTCTATCTCTTGAATATAAATATGACCTATATATCTATTCCATAGGGGTTAAGAAAAGAATTATTGTATTGGTTGATAAAAAGGAACCCTCTTCCCCTATGAATACGTTCTTATGTCAAGCATAGTCAATTCAGTGATGAAATAGGGCTCGAATAAATATATTTTTTATATATTCTAATAATCCACTGCATATGGGTGAGATATTCAGGAGGGAGGACATTTTGTCAGCTCTCTGGTCCCTATTTTTCGTGTTTCTCATAATAATAACCAGCTCTAATAAGGGCAGGAGACAGTTAACACAAAATCAGTGCGAACAGTAAATTAGCATAAACGCAAATATGCTTTTGTCCACTTTTCAAGACAGTACTCAATAGTCGTTGCAAAGTTAGTTCCTCGAGTGCGCGATTGTAAAGTTTAAGAGCTTCTCATTTGTCGTTTGTATGCACTTCTATAAATATGTATTTGCATGTCATAAAATCCCGAGTCACCATCCGAGAAGAGTGGCTGTGTTTCTCTTGCAAAATGAATAAGCAGATTTATCACTGTGTGGCCAGTCAATTATCCTCAATCAGCATTTGCATTCGACTGTGACAATCTGCGAGATCAATGATTTATTTCTCCATGGAGTGGCGTCAACCAATCAATTAATTAACATGTTCTCGAGAGTGGGCAAGAACGCGCTTCCCGCGCACTCGTGATCCTCAGCCACCCACGTGACATGTTAAGTCCAACTCTATTATATTTACAAATAGGATTGCACGTTAAAACTTCGTTCCTCATCAATCGGCTTCTCTTGTTTACACTTCTCAGTTCGTTTAACTCTCTTGTTAGGTGTTTTGTGAAAAAGCGATGGCATTTTTAGGTTTAGGGAAATTGTGTGTGCGTGTGTGGGAAATAGTAAAATTGTATTCATTTTGGAATACGAAAATAAACTCGTGAATAATACCATTTGATACCATCCACATTTTAATAATATCATGCGGTACAGCAAGAGGAGGTCGTAAAGTTTCCAAGTAATCTCGCTGAGACTCATGGCTTTAAATGCATTTAAATATGTTTCTGTCATTCAGAGCGACAAGCTAGCGATGAACAATGGGAATTCACGAAATTATCAAGCTGTTTCGGCGCATTAGTCTTCTGGAATGGACCATTTTGTAAGCTTGTCTCACGAATTCCTCCTACAAATAAAGTCCAATCTCTCTGGTGGATACAATTTTGAGGAAGAGAGTGAGAAGGCCAAAAATAGCACGTCTTCTTGACTCTCCATGTCATGCTTCCCCGGCATTTTTGACTTCACTCCACTTGAAAAACGTATCCCTAAATTTAATTACTCAAAATGCGCGCCGCACTGTGATTGACGACGCCTTTTGGCCGAGGTGATGGCACGATCATGAGGAGATGAACGCACTCACTTGGTAAATTTCCACTGGAAAATGTTCAGGGAAGAGATGTTTTTCCGTGCGCCGTTCTTGTGTAGATCAATAAAACACATTCAGAGTTCGTGGGCATTCAGCCACCACCCCGCATTGACGGGAAAATCACTTTGCACAAATACACTGAGACACTATGGGTGGAAAAATCCTCTGTGGAACACTCGGAGTTGCGTAGTCCGCATTTCTTTCTTCTCGCCGAGGGACTTGCTCATCTCTTCGGCATTACTCTGGAAAATGGAATGGGAATTTTTGCAAATATTGAGGCATTGTGATAGAGGAAGCCACACAAAAATTGAGTCACGATGGGGAGAGTTGAGAGACAGCAGAAAATGTGCCTCTGACTTGAGGTGAGCCTGAGTGTGATACAAAATATGAAATTCAATATTGCTATTGACTTTTAAACCCCAAAGAGTCAATATTTTCTTAATTACTATTTGCCCGGTTCGTCACTTCCGTGGCTGAAGTGCGTGGAACGCGGGGGGCGAACCTGAGAGTGAGACACTTTGGAATTTTATTGGAGAATAACCTCGAGAGAATAGTCTTTGGGACATCATATTGTGGAGAGAAGAGATACAAGAAACATCCGGACAGTGCAGGCCAAGAGGAAAGAACCAGACAAGGTGGAGCTGGTGGGCGTTTAATGGAAGACGAATATCAATTCCCGGCAAGTCATTTCGATACTTTTTCAACTTCGCAGCGTGTGAGTATCGTTTTGGTGTGTTCTTTGGGAAACGAAATACCAGTCAGAAGAGGCCGCACTTTCGAGTCACAGAATTTTGGAAGACGATGGGCGACAAGAGAGCGGATCGATAACAGAATTCATTTTGTATACAACTGCTCTCTGGGCAGACGATAAGGAAACATTCCACAGCGAGACTCACAATGGCAATCACACTGAAATTTTCCGACTCTTCGCGCGCACTCACGGTGAAATTTTTCACTGCACTTATGGGAAAATGAGGAGGTTCAGGGAATTCCACAGGGCGCACAAATGGGAGTCCCGCGACAAAGAAGCGCAGCCAGAGAGTGCGGAGGAGAGTCTCGAGCGCGGTAAGAGGCCAACGAGAGATGACAGAGAACTGAGACTGAATTTCCAATGGTGTGGCTCTCCGGGCCCGAGGAGAAAAACAGATTGTACGCGGAGTTGGAAGTGAGTTCTGTGTGTGAAATAGCACGGGAGAGAATCCGAGAAGAACGGCGCAGTCGCCCTTCGGTAACGCACTGCTATTTCGCCATAACGCAGGGTGAAGGAAAAAGCCGGCTGGAAGCCGCCGCCATATGGCCAGGCGGTTGTCTGTGTGTGTGAGTCGCACTCGAGGAGGTGAGCAACCCTCGGCAGCTTCCCTGCTGCGGAGGGAAAACAAACAAACCCCTTTTGCCACTCTCAATCCGCGAGATTACACGGGATTCCCGCGAGGGTCAATTGATCACTGCCTGCAATTCTGACTCCGCGAGATACCATCGCGTGTCGCGCTGAAAATAGATTAATTCAAATTCATTGGCCTTTGTTTGCGCTGCCTCTCGAGAGACCACCAGCCAGAGTTCACCGAAATTCCAGCGTTGCTCCCAAACAAGACGGCAGAGAGCTAACCAAATAATCAAGCCACTTGATTAATATTTTATCACACTAATTGGCAAACACACTTCTTCCATCCACCACTCGAAAGGATAGGTAATTGTCCTCTGCGATGCAAACTATGGCGAATATTTATTGGCCGGGAACAGAGACAACAATTTACAACATCGAGGTTTTAGTGTAAATATTTAGAAGAATCCATCGGTATAGATACGAATGATAAACAGCTGAGAAGCAGCTCTAAGAGCATCTAATTTGGGATTTGTTTAGTCATCGCAATTCACTTCCACATCCACACGGCAGTTTCCCATCATCTTGGCCTCTAAGAAGAGAATCTCCCTCATCATCGTCACAACCAAGAAGTTCACACGGTGATCTTCACTCGTGGGCAGAGACACGCTGGTGAGATGCAGTGCTGGAGATTTCAGGTGGAATTGAGAGACCTTCTTGAATCCCTCAATGCCCTGGTAGCTGTAAATCTGCACTTCCACACCTTCTTCCACGAACACCAGAAGCGTTTCGTCGCGCAGATGAAGAGCTGTGAGGCCAGAAGGCTCGTGGCACGGAAGCGTCTGGAAGATGCTCTCGCCGATGGCGTTCTCATACAAGTAGATCAGATCGTGACGTCCAGGAACTGTGCTTTTCCTCCTCGAGGCCACAGCTATGAGCTTCCTTCGGTGCAGAGGATGACCAACGGTCAGGGCAATGATTTCTCCAGTCAATTCCTCAAAGGAAGGCTCCTTATCCGCATAGATGATTGCTGGTTGTGATTTGAGATTGTGACCCTCTTCATCGGCGATTTCATTAATCTTGTCGTTCATGAGCAATTCCATCAGCCACATATTCAAAGCGTCTTCTGCTATTTCCTTCAAGTCTGTGACATTGATCTTCTGGGCATTCGCTGCAGTGAAAGATGAATTATGACTAACTTCCTGATCGGTTCCGGAAAGAGCGCCCATTGCAAGGTCGATGAGGATTTTCTTTTTGGCCAAAACATACTTCAAAGTGTTCAGAAATACTTCTTTCGTCATCAGAACTTCAACTTCTGTGGCATTAGCAGAAGCACTAACATGTTTATCATCATTCTGTTCATATCGATTAAGGATCTCTACAAGTTCGAAGGTGGTGTCAACGAAAGCTTTCGATCCCTGTTTCATCAATTCTTGGAACTTGTCGAAAAGTTTATCGCCAACTATTGCATCATCGAAGATATTAACATCAAATGCGTCAGTGGGATTGTATTGCTTCAGCAAATTCACAAGTGTCTCATCATCTTCGAGACTCATATCAACAGCTCTGGACATTCTCCTCCTTCTCCTCCTGGAATTCCTTCTGATCACTTTAATATGCTTCCCATCAGTGACTGCCAAACCGAGATTGATCTCTTGAGGGATGAATTTCATAGCAGCGCTCAAGGGTTTCTTCCACTTCTCCCCAGATTCGCCGCGAAGATCAAATTCCGTGACATCATTCTCCTCATCAATGGCGTAAAAGTGTCCTGGCCGAAGACCATTCTTCTGGATGGAGTGGAAGGTCTGGTCCATTTGGGTCAACTTGATGAGATTAAACCCATTCCATTTCCACACGGCACTTCCGCTTTCGCTGCATTTGTCATTCGCCAGACTGCTTGCCACCAAGTGAGCATTTCCTATGTCGTCTTCCACATGAATCCACTCAATGATTTGCCCCGTGTTGATTGTGGTCAGGAGAGCGAAGCGCTTCTCACCAGACAGCCACTGATAGAGTTTGCTGCGACATCCAGCTGAGTAAATAAAGTAACTCTGCCCATTGTTCTCGTAGAATAGATGAGATGAGATCTCCTCGCCCTTCTCCCAAATGCTGTCGTGCAGCTCGAAGTAGCGGAAGAAGCAGATGTCGTGGCGACTTCTGCTCAGGAGACTATTGACTTTGCGACACAGTTCCGCATTCAGCTTTTCCGTGTACTTCACCTTCTCGGCCAATTTTTCCCAATTGCCAGTGAAGTTCATCATATTGGCGAAGTCAATTTGGTTTATTGCTCCATCGCCCTCGAGGGACTCTTCAATGTGGCACTTCTTGAACACCCATCGACCACTAACTGTTTGATTGGTGGCTTTCCTCCTCCAAAGGACATTGTCATGCCAATTCGTGAAGTTTATCCCCGAAATTATGTGCTCTGTGAACATATCCTCGACCTGCAGATGATCAAATGACACCGGAGTCGTGATGATGAGATCGGAACTGAGAAGAGCCACACTCCGGATGTTTTGGTTGTTCACCTCGCCGGATGTCGTGAGGGAGTTCAGCACCCGCGCCAGCTGGAAGCTGGCCGAAGTCTCCACTGTCTGGTCTCCGTAGGTCTTGAGGGAAAGAGTATTGAATTTAGGGTAAGAGAGCAATATAATTCAATACAATTTCACTCACCATGAGGGTATTCTCGTGCTCTTCCGGCAATTTCACTCCATTGACAAACCCATCAACACTAATTGGTTGATTGACCTCCACATCAGCGACCACGAGAGTGTCTTCAATCTCCTGCTCAGTGTGAAGAGTAATGTACTTTGACATGGGAATTCCATTTAGGAATCCAGTCTCAATTGATTCTGCATTTACTCCGGGATGGAAAGTGATGTTCACTGAAAATGAAAGAGGTGTCAATGAAAGTGTCTGTGAAGTCATTGATTAACTTACTGAACAAATGCATGTCTTCATCCTTCCAAACTGCCTCACGAATGAGTTGACCAGGATTGCAGCCCACAATGGACTCCGCTGTGAGATTTCCACCAATGAAGATCTCTGGAGTCTCAATAAAACTGTCGATTGGATATGTTCTTGGGTATGTTGAATCGAAATACACATCTCCGTGTATTTCCACCGTATTGTACGGATCATTGATGATCACATTTTCCACCAAGTCTCTGAAATCGATCCCATTAACGAAGTTCGCACCCAGAGAATCCCTGAAGAAGGCAGGCCTCGTGAAGATCTTCTTGCCAGTGAAGTTGAAAACCTTCTGGGATTTCATCTGAATTCCTTTAACGTACTCAGTTATGTTCTTCAAATCATTCAGATATCCATCCACGATTAAATGATCAACATACGGATGATCTTGGAGGTACACATTTCCCCAAATGTGATGAAAATTATCGTTGAGATCGTATGAATAGAGATCCGTGAGTTTATAAAATGGAAATCTGTTAATCTTTCCATTGAGAATCAATCTCTGCACTGTTAAATTCCCACTAACAGTGAGATCGCCGTCGATGACACTGTATCTGTCCTGGGTGAGGATGCTGGACACGTTCAAATCATTAATGAACGCCACTTCGACGCCTTCAGTGACGTGTAAGTCTTTCTTGAAGGTTTTGTGGCCAGTCAGAACGATTGTGTCATTTGATTTTGAAACGAGATTGCTGAGGAAGTCCTTAAAATCTCTCGTGTTGACGTTACTATCCACGGACAAATTCCCGTTGAAGTTGATCTTGTCCAGGAAATTCACATCCTTCGTGAAGACATTTGATTCATTGAGCCAGATTGCATTTGCTGCAATTTCAGTGAAATTCTGACCATTCAGAATTTCCAGATAAACATCTCCATGGATTGTGAGCGAGTCAATGGGCATCTGACCTGACCGGATGGCTTCCTGTAAATTCCCTGCATTCTTCAGGAGACTCTCAACCTTCTCAATTGACACGTTATTGAGTCTGCTGACATGGAGAGAGTCAATATCAGCATGATCAATGTGGAATGGGACTTCAATAGTTTGTTCTCTGGATAAACTCAATCGCCGGCGATCGAAATCCTCCAAATCGATGTCATTGACCAGAAATTTTCCAATTAAGTCTGCCTTCGTCTCCAAATGATCGACTCTGAGCTCCTCAAATTCCACATCAGCATCGAGCTCGAGATCTTCGGTGGTGTCAATTAAATCGTGCACCTTAAATCCATTGATGGTATCGCTCACTTCCATTTTTCCGGCAATAACATCTACGAAATCGCCCAGATCGTCGTTCTCAAATATGATCTCGGCCTCCGTGTGCTGCTGCCCGGACAATTTGACGCTGTTGTAATCCAATTCCGTGACATTCACGTCATTAAATAGTCCATCGAGGGTCAGAGCATGGAAATAGATATCACCATTAATCTCTTTGATATGCAGTTCCTGCTCTGTGTCTCTGGTCACATATTCCTTGAGAGGAACACTATTTAGAAGGCCTGAAGTTAGCGTAATTCCAGAGCTAAAAGTTACATTTTCGAAGGACTTGAAGGCAACTACATTAATTGTTTTGTCAGTTGTATAGACAGCATTTTTCAGGATTGAGTCCAAATCCATTCCATTCAAGGAATTGTTAACAATAATATTGCCTTCGACTCTAAGATCACGAAATAGGCAAGCAGTGTGTACTGTTTTCGTCTCCAGAAGAGTGGGATTCTTCAGAAATTTATCCAAATGCCTTCCCTTGATCTCACCATCGACCTCGAGTCTTCCCACCACATTTAGTTCCCCAAAAGTCGTCTCTCCAGGGATGTGCTGATCTGAATTGATGGTGATTATTCTTTCCACGTCGAATCCATTAATGGTTTTCTCAGCATCGATAGAAGTAGCAACTGAAAATATTTGAAAGCTATGTTTTGCCGGCTTTTAGGAGAATAGAAGATTGCGCTTACCGAGTGTCTTGAATTTCTTACGACCGGTAATAACCGCGGTGGAGGGTTTATCGGAAGAGCCATTTGATGCCCACAAATATCCTCCAGGGAAGGTGATGTTGTTCAGTGAATCAATCCATAAATCATCCACGAAGAACACTTCCTGAAAGGGAAAAAAATTATCATAAGGAATTATCAATAAATTGTTTTTTTTGTTACTAACTCCGTTGATTTTAATTTTCTCAAGAGAAATAGGACGATTTGTCATGACGATGCTCTGCATAAACTTCTTCCAATCCACATTATTGAGGGTGTTGAATGTTAAGTTACCGGAAATCGTGATATTATCATCGGCAAGGACATCGGAAGAGTTAGATGTGTTAAAGAGCTGGGAGACATTAATTCCATTGACACTCTGCTGGACAGTGAGATCTCCAGTGATGTGAAGCGAGCCAAATTCCAATGTTTCACTCTCAATCGCACTTACTTCCTCATGAAGAGACCTGCCATTTACTTTTCCACGCACATCTTCAACTTCCAGCGGACCAGTAATTATCAAATCACTTTCTATGGCAATTTCCTCACTCCCGCTGAACACGAAATCACTGACTGGTATTCCGTTGATTGACTCAACATCCAGGTACTTTACAATCAGTTCTGTGGCATTAATCTGTCTGGTCTGTCTCTTCCCGCGATGGTGGTCATCAGGCGTCAGGATATACATTCCCTCTGTGGAGAATTGGCCATTCGACGCGATGGTGCCCAGAGAAATTGTCCGAGAGTCCCGAGCTTGCGTTTTCTCTGGAACCTTTGACATCAAAGCACCGAGATCATCATCAATTTTGTCCAGAATGTCAGAAAGTGTTGGAATATGCACTCTAGAATCATCGGGAGTCCAGATTTTGTGGCCGACGATAATTTTGTGCTCTCTCTCGAATTCCACTTGATCCGCAGCCACTTCAAATGCTTCAGTTTGGAGGGATTTCACCTTCCAGTGTGCGGAAATGTGGTTGAATTCATTAACTTTCGCTGCATTCTTCATACTATCCAGCGCCTCTTCCAGAACTCTGTCCTTGTGTTTATCGAGTTCGCTAAAGTATTCGTACATCATCTTGAATTCCTCAAGATGCTCCAATTCTGGTGGGAAATCCGCTCGCATTTCCATGTTGAGGAGGAAAAGGCCAGAGTCTGCATCATCGCGTGGAACGAGGATGGAAATATTCCTGTCATGGCGAATAATGGTTGATCCTTCCAGTCCCCGTTCTCTGTCAAAATCCAGCATGCATCTGATGCCATATTTTGATTCAATGTCCGACAGGATGCAAGGAACATTGGGAAGAACGCTGAAGAACTTCCCATTCCACAGAAGAACCTCGAGTTTAGTGACAATGTGTTCGTGAAGGAGCACTCGATGTTGGACTAGAATTATGAGGTCATCCCGATACGTTTTGATCACGATGGGTAGCCAGAAGTCCACGAGACCAAAGTGGCCATGATGGATCTCCACTGGTTTCAAAGAGTCATCCTCCAGACGCATGATTTGGGGCTTGTTTCCGCCAATGGCCACATGAGAGAATCCCTCGACGTGAAAACTCGCTACGTGCGCGACTTCAGGAGACTCAATGTCCAGAAAGTGTGTGAAATGTTGATTAAAGCTGGACTCTTTGGCATACTTATAAAGAGCTGTGATGTTCTTCTGCGGAATGGCGATTATTAGGTTAGAACCATCTTCCAGGACAGCCACAGAAGTGCTGGAAACGTTGAGAGGGATTGTCTGGACCAGCCAGAAATCCTTTGACGCATAATCAAAACGATAAATATCCAAAGTCTTGTGCTCGATCGTCTCACTGAACAGCATCACCATTGGATCTTCCATTAGGGAGAAGAAATCAATTTCCGTGAGGGTTTTCTGCAGATTCCACCGCCAAGAAATCGTAAGTTCATCGAAATCAGTACCCAAATCAATCCATAGCAATTCATTGGCTATTCCCACTAATGCTATGCCTTCGGCGGCCTTATCTTCAGCATCCCACCGGGAAAATCCCTCGAGAGTTGTGGGAGTGGAAGGCAATTTTAGTTCCCTCACGAACTCATAGTGTCCCTCCGTCTCTTTCAGCAACACCACGCTGGAGTTGGTGATGCCGATCAGGGAGTGTTTGCCCAGTTTCCGCTGATGGAGGGTTTTCCAAGAGGTGACATTCTCTCCGAGATCGAAGCTCATGTCTTCCTCCACGGAATTCAAGTACAGAACATCACGATAAGTTTGCATAAGATGAGGAAATCTGATGTGGAAATCAGAATCGCTCTCTGAGCTCTCATCTACTTGGTTCGTGGCCACCCGGCGACGCTTGAAGAGATTCCCAACACTGCCCCAGAGATGAGCAGAATGCAGCTTGTGCGTGTCAGGCGCACTTCCATGAATGTACTGATTGTTCTTCACCGCGTTCAAGATCTCCTCCCGGATCGCATCCGCCTCGTAGAGCGCCTTTTGCGAGACACGTGGTCTGGCGTCAGTGGGATTGAGTTCTCTGCGCAGCTCCTGGACTTCACGGAGGTGCTCCTCGGTGACCTCAGCGGCGTCGGTCTGCAAGTGAGCACACATCGAGGTTGGTCTTGAGTAATTGGCTAATTTGCTTACCGCAGAATAAATCACCTCGAACGGCACAACACGTGGAGCCAGCCACATGAAACCGATGAGTGCAATAGAGAGAATTCGCATTTCTTTTCCTTCAGCACAAGAGCACACAGTTCAACAATTAATCACATTTAAATTGCCACTAATTTTCTCAACACAAATCACTGCAATTTCCCTGCTTGTAAGATAATCTTAATGGCCAGCTAGTCGTATCGAGACAGAGAGTTGGAGGAACACTGCGAAGCGCTCATCAATTGCCGCAAATCCTTATCAGTTTGGGTGAAAGAATTCATGCAATGCCGAAACGAGTTTGGAATTTTCACGTTATATCATCACAGCCAGTAAATAATTGACTGAGAAATATGAGTGTTGTGAGAGGATTTGCAATAAAGAATAGAGTGAGAGCGATTCGCCCGCAGAAATCATGATTATTGTTGTCATTAGAGAAATGTGTTTGTTTTCACGAGTAATTTACCAGAGCTGCGGAAGAGATGGACAATTGAAAAGTATGTAAAAAATGAGGAAGAATAAAACAGGGATGATTTCAGTTATGAAAGATGCAAAGTAGCATCGAAACACTAAAAGTTAATAGACCTCTCGATTAATTACATCGTTCTGCATTATTATAATTAATTCATCTAATTGCTTCTGAAGCTTTAATATTGGAATTACGTGAAGAAGATGAAAATCAATGTTTATTTTGCAATTATTTCATATGGAGAAAATCATTATTTCACGCGCTTCACGCCATATTGTTACAGGAATTTGATCTGATCAAAAATAAATTTAAACCAATTATAATATTGTGAGATTATGGCATCTTCACCTCTAAAGTTTCAGCAAATCTTTGAGGAAATCTTGGCCTATTATGAGTGTTAATTGCTGTGAAGAGGAACTGTAAATATTGTCCGCGAAATTGTGAACAATTGCCCTACTTGTCTTTTATTTCACTTCACGACATTATTGTAGCAATAAATGCACTTCACACTGGACTAGAAGTAGTTTTCACTGAAATTTCGCTTATCGCTAAATTTCACCCATAAACCCATAAACAATTACTAATAATTGGGTTAAGCAGAAGGTGAATTTTGCATAGTTATTTCTCAATCAAATATTAATTTTTTTTTCGAAAGGAGAACAGCACTGCAATCGTGACCTTTCGAGAGGAAAAATGCGAGCGGGCCAAAACGCCATCCCAATTAAATCCACTTTTACCAGAGCGGGTAAAAAACCTGCATTGGATGTCAGGTTTAATAGATTGAGATCGCATTAGATGGAAAGTCATGTCTTGTTAGTCTAATTGCGATCCATCGGAAGTTGAGCCTTCTCTAAGTGATTAATAGATTGTGAGGCGCATGTGAGAAATTGCTTCTCGTGTTCCACCGTGAAAATCTTCACGTGAGCATTGAGTGTGAAGAGCAGACAAAGCCCACTTCTGGGTTTAATGCGACACTGAGAGATCAATGAAGTCATTGCTCGGTGGAAAACGAAAGTTCATTACGTTTCAGCTCTCTTTGGCCGATGATCTTCTTGGTCACACTGCGAAGGCATTGAAGACTATTGAGTAACAAATCCATTGTCCTCCCAAATGTCTCGGTCTGCGTGCCCTTTCTTGCCGCTCAAAGGAAATTACACCATTCTCATGGGGTTCAGGTGTCAAAATATGTATTTCTCTCCATGAAAATAACACACTTTCACTGTATGAAATGTTAAAAGCGCCAACTTGAACCCATCAGAGGCCTCAAGCACGTGATTATGGCGGGAATTATGAGGAACAATTAGAGATATTTTTTAGAAATTTGTCTCCGTCCATTGAATTAAACTGCCGACAATTAAAAGTTTCTTAACACGGTGTTTTTTCGCTGAGAAATCTTCCCTATTGAGAGACTTCTTTCTCTCCTGCGAGTACAATTTCTTGTAACACTTACAAAGTGGGAGCGTGCAAGAAATTGGCAATCGCCAAATTAGCGAGACAAATAGCAGAAAAAAGAACATTCGCACAGTGGCTCAAGACAATTTTGACCCTGATTCATTGATCAAATAAATTCTTTCAGCTTCTGTGCAGAAGTTTAAGTCACTTTCTTGGCTATTTTGGAGAAAAGCGAGAAAGAAGAATAACAGTATAATGATGAGTTAGTGTGCGGCGTGAGACGATATATACCATCTTTATTAGCTCCCCTAGCTTTCGGTTTACGCGCAGAAATTCAATTGAATGGAAACCACGATCGCCATTCCATCGTCAGTCAACGTCTTACCTTCGCAGCGATCAGACGCGCAGCAGAAACTTTCCCATCCTCTGCTTGACGGTGTTAAAATTTGTGAAAACAGAGACACATTTCCAGAGATTTCACACCAAATCTCGCTAGACTCTTCGAGTTGTGTTGTGACATTTTGGCTGTGCCGATAAGCCACAGATTTCTCATCAAGAGAGTGATCGCGATTTGTGATTCATCTTCTGATCGATCTGCGCCAGAGAAAGTCACACGCACAACGGTGTACGATTTCTCATGGTCAAAACACTCTCTTGAGCATTTGATAAAAGAAGAGCAGCAAGTGATCACCAATGATTGGATAAATCTGCCCAGCGATCGAGCTTAGGACCAAACTTGATTTGCAAAGGGAGCATCGCAGTGTCTTTCATATGTGATTGGTATGTTGGCGCGATCGACAGAGTCGCAATTACATGTAAAATAGCTGAAAGTGGTCTCTAGCATAATCCGCACTCGCAGCATCGTCCCGACGAGCGTGATCACTTTTGCAGCATGTGCACAAGACAACCTGAAAGACGAGGTTTCGATTTTGTTGGGTCAAGTTCTGCAACTTTTTACTTTCCTCGCATGCACATTCCGCGAGCTCTTGTGCTGTTTTTTTCCCTCGCTTTTCTCCCTTTTCATGTGAAACAACTGCAGAGGAAAGAAATCTCCATCCGTGGCCAAGAAATACCTTTGAAGTACTAAGTGGTTTTCATTCGCCTTGGAAAATAGTCCAGAGTTAGTTCAACCGACAAATATTACGTGCCACTGGGGAGTTTTCTTTTTTCGCATCTCAGTGATAATTTGATAATTCTGCGCCCAGATGTGGCAATGCTTTTTCCGGCACAGAAACGACACACAAAAAATGAGGCTATCTCTGGCATATCGCAAGAATAGAGAAATTAGCATTTAATATTTCTTCAATTCATGATTCAATTGTTCAAGCGCTGTGTGTGAGTTCATTACCATTGTCTATCGATCTCAACACTGTACCACATCTAATGGTATTTCCATCTCGCAGACACTCATTGAAAATGCAGCAGAGTTGATGCTGTCTTCACTCTTCTGGCCCGTGTAATTGCACTAACGTGAGATCAGTGGTGTATTAATTGTAACAGAAAAGAACTGTGTTTCACAGAGATTGCCTCGTGAAAATACAATTCATCAGTTATATACACCAATTTTCAGAGTAGCACAATTAATATATTAATTTTTTATGTAATCCACGCTCGCAAGTAAAAGTTCTTCACGCCGTTTTCATTGCATTTGTGCGATTTTTCGCATACAGTCTTGAGAATTAGCTTCTTCCATTCGCCATAAACACTGTCTCTCACACATAAATTTCACTTTTCCGAAATCACGAACACCACTGAGAATGCCTTGGCGGCGGAGATTTGCACACTAAAGATGTATGTGAAAAATTTACCTAATGATGCCGATATAAATCTCACTCAATCCGGAGCTGTGATGAGGCAAAAAGGCACAGTTAATTACGTGATTCCTTCTTGTGTCAGAGATGGCTGTTCTTCCTGGAACTCACACATTTCACATACTCACCTATTCAGCCCAATAAGGGTGAAACTTAATGACGCGCATTGCGTCACTTAATCAAAAATGAGGATTGAAATGATATTCCATTGCCGGATCTGTCTTTCTCAAGAGCTTTTCTTCTCGAGAAAGGTTTTTTTGTCAGCTAATGAATAATTTATGCACTTGAATTGCATGGTTAATTTATAAATTGGCTTTAACTCATAAACAATTGTTGAAATTGCGGTTTTTTGTGGAATTACTTAAGGAAATGCGTGCGGACTTCTTGTACTTACGCAAGTTTGAGAAGGAATATGAGAATTTATCGGTAAAGACTTTCCAGGAATACCTTAATATGCTGGACGTCGGTTCTGCTTTTAATCTGCGACATTCCAGCTTCTCATAAGCCATACTATATGCGAGTGTTTATCGTCTTTTTTTGAGAATTTCTCCGTGAGATTGTCGCCAATTCCGTGAGATGAAAAGCAGGTTAACAATGAAGAAATGCGCTTGTCGATAATAATTCTAAGTGAACATTACATAAATCACCCAAATAGCCAGTGGAACAAATCGCCAGGCGGGTAGAATCAATTCGTGTCACGCAAGCCCATCAATTATATCTCAATTTTCTTCAGCATTCTCTCATCTTCGCAATGGCATGTGGAGCGCGCTGAAAACGTCTCTCTCAGTTCTTCATTGATCTGTCCGGGGTCAGTGTTTGTCATTTGAATTTACTATGAGGCACGAATGCTTGTGATTATGTAAAAATGATGAAGAAGACACTCGATGGCTAAGAAGAGGTCATTTGCATAACACGCTTTCTTTTTGGTCTTGCAGTTTGCGAGGGAATTTCAAAATGCCTCTCCAGTCCACTCTGGTGGCTCTCATTCTGCTCCCCCTGTGTCTGGCCACACCGCTGCCCATTCAGTACCCATTCGCCTACAATCCCAAGTCGCTTGCGACACCGCGCGAGATCAATGACTTGACCGCCGAGACTATGCAGAAGGCGCAGAAGGATGTCGTCACGACCATTTCGGAGGTGCAGAAGCTCTTGGCCGCCGATCCCACCCTTCCACGGCTCACGAGGTGAGAGAGAGAGTGACGGATTTTCCCTTTTACTCTGCGTCACATTATCTTTATTCATTTTAGGGGAGAAATTGCCGATCTCTTTGAAACAGTCACGAAGGAGGAGTATGTGAAGAGCGTCCGGGTGGGAGACATGAACAGAGCGAAGCACATGCGAGCTCTGATGCTGGTGCTGCCGTACAACACGAAGAACGTGCCCTCGGAGAATCTGGAGGAGCTCTATACGCGCCCACCAGTCACCAAAGTCATCCCGTCGGAGGTGAAGCCAATGGCGGTGTCGAAGAAGCCCACGCGGCGCCCAGACTTCGCGGCCAAGGTCGATGATTACATCGCGACGACATACCATCCCAAGACAAAGCAGCGCAAGAAGTCAGACGTGGCCGTGACGACGTTCCACCCAAAGACCGTCCCTGTGATCACAGCTGAGCCGACGGTGCCCACGAAATTGCACATTGCGGAGCAGAAGTCGAAGTACAGCAGTCACTACAGTGCCGAAGTAGCCAATTTTGAGGAGAAATCGAAACCACCGATGAGAGAAAACGTGGTGGGTCTACTCGCGGCCATTGGACTCACTCCAGATACCTCGCCAACGACCACAACGACGACAACTCCCACACCAACCACCACAAAACAGCCGGAACTCACGCCCGAGCTGGAGATGCTGCTCAAGTCTTTCGGCTTCCTGCAAGATCAGGGCCACTTCGACGTGCAGGAGGATCAGCCGGTGCACGAGGAGACGCGCGCGGCGGAGTTCGTGTCGCAACCCTTCAAACCACTGCCCGAGTCTTTAGTCAAGGAGGATTACAGGAAAATCCTGTCAGCGCCGATCCAGTCTGAGGATTACGTGGCATTCAAGCCGATCCCCAAAGACACAGCTAAAGCGCTGAACAACGACAACAGGGAATTCTTCCGATCGCTCGGTCTGGTTGACGATCAGGTGGAGGTGTCGACGGACAAGCCTACAAGCAAGGAGCCCAGAATGATGAAGATGCCAGAGTTTGATGCTGGCATTTCTTTGCCGAGCGATATGCTGCAGGCACTGGATAAGGTGGGAGTTGTCCGGAAAGTGACCACAGCAAAACCTGAAGACACCACCACCACCAGCAGTCCTGTCTCTTCGTCCACCTCAACTACAGAGTCTTCCACGACCACTTCAACTACCTCAAAGCCAAGTACAACAACTACAGTCCTGCCCAGAAATCACAGGCCAGTTCGCGTTTCGTCGCGCGCCAGGGTGTTCTCATTGCCGGAAAAGGAGATGCAGGTTCCCAAGAAGATCGCCATTCCACCGAGAAATCCCAAGCAAAAGCCCATTGAGGTGACGCAGGAGGATCTCGACCACTTGCACTACTTGCTGGACACCATTCAGAAACTGGACAAGCTCAACGCCTCCCTGTCAGGCAATATTTCGTCCTCAACAGCGAAGTACGACGTGAAAACGTTGCTGGGCATCGGTCCAGATCCTGTGTCTCACGTCGAGCTCAATGTGGCGAAGAACGAAGTAAAGCGCCAGGAAGAGAAGAACCAAACGGACGATGCTGTGTCCTCGAGTCCTGAGCCCGTGAGATTCTCCCTCAATCTCACGGACTCCTCAGCGTCTCCTGACGATTCCATCGTGGACGCAGCGTCAGATGCTAAATCAGAAGTCCCTTCCACGACCTCAACAACAACTGCACCGCCGCTTCTGCTGGCGGAATCCTTCGCCAGTATCGATCCAGTCGCAGAGAAACCTCTGCCGCCACCCAGAAGGACGGGATTTTACTTCCTGGCCGACTGGAATTCCTTCCTCGAAGTGGGAGACGACAATGAGAAGGTGGAAGTGAGATTCATGCCTCAAGTTGGGGATCCCAGTCGCTTTATTCCAGTCACAGTGCCGTAAATCTCTTCCTGCTCGAATTTTTCTTACCTTTAAGCGACCTCTGGGACTTTTGGTGCATCTTCTCTATGGGGAAAAGAGCTTCCTGATCCTTATACTTCCACCTCTGTATTATTTAATTCCATAATTGCTGTATAGTGTTCTCTTTAGGTTCTAATTAGGTATTTTATAAGATTTTTTATACAAGGAAAGAGAGAAAATAAAATCATTAATAAAGAAAACAGTGTGTTTTAGTCATAAAAATTTTATACGATTATTATTCTTGCTTATATACAAAACACAATTCTTTGTGATTTCTTTAATTATTCTAACATTCACAGTCACGCTGTGAAAGAGCTTTTCTTGTGAAATTAATATAAGCTTGGGATAAACTTATCGCGTGAAACACGATTTCTACTCATATAAGTTGCAGACAACTTCTTCAATGTTTCCACTGAATTTCATGTTTCAGAAATTTCATTTAAACATTTCAAATAAATAACTTAAACGTTAAGTGAAGCATTTTAAAACTAATTTCAAGTAAATTTACTTAATACGTTACATTGACCAGTCTCTCTAGAGATACTAAAACACCTACTCTTTCATCTTCAACTAAGGCAATGATTGTCAAGTACTGTGAATTCATCTTACTGTTAAAATCCTTCGCATTTTCTATCCTCAAACCTTAGAAAAATCTCTTTTCGGTATGTTCATTTCTTCCTTAAATTAAAATCCCTACAGTTCGGACGGATTTGCGGATTTGGTGGCACACATATTTGTATGGTTCTGTTCATAAGTCAGAGTTATTTTCATTATGTTTAGTTTAGCATTAGAAAAAAAAAAACACTAGAATGGGAAAAGTCTTTGTTAGCAACTCTCTCCACTAGTACAAATTTACACAACTAGCAATAGAATGCATGTATCTAGAATACAAAATAGGATATAAAATTCTATCAGTGTCTTTTCAATGTTTCTACTTCGTACAATCCTTCAAACTAAGTCCTCTTCCTCATCTGTATACAATTTAATTGGGAATATCACACTTTTTACGAATAATTCTTGCAGTTTTTTTTCCTCTTGTGCCCACGCTCAATTGGCTCACACTTCAATACTGTTTAGGCTTCCGGAGGAGATGTTCTCCGCGTGCGTCCCGAGGCGCGCCGTTTGCGGCCTCTTGGCGCCCGTTTGCGCCCGGATGGGCATCGGCGAGCGGTTGTGGTGCATCATCCGCGGACTGCTGGGCACAGGAATACCCGTCGGATGCTTCCTGGTGCGCCTCATGGACGAGCTGTCGGTCTGCGTGATTGGCACCTTCACGTCGCCGTTGTTGTACGGACGCACGTTGCCGCGACGCTCCACTAGCAGCGTCTGCGGAGGACAATTGTTGTTCTGCTGCAGACCAGGACTGGCCGCCACTGGAGTGGGCATCGAGTTGGGCAGGAAGCGCATCTCCATCACATTGCGATTCTAGAACATTCACGCTGATTTCTAAACTAGAAGAAATTCTACGTTGTCGCTCTAAACTGGCTTTAACTAAGAGGCTTGTGGTATGAATGGGGATTCCAGAGAGTGTACTCCAAATGAGATGGGATTGTCCAGGGATGCGGAAGAGTTTTTTTTTCAACTACGCAAACAATAATAGCCAAACAGTGTTAATTGAAAGAGAGATTTGACGGTGTTAATTGCGCCTTTCAACTAATTTTTTGCTCTTCTCCTCGTATTATACTTCGCGAAAATTCACTTCGTCCCCAGTCTTGAGATGGGCAGCTAAGTAAATTTTCCGCTTACCTTGTCACCCTCCTGAGCGAGAGGATTCGCAGTGATATTCATGCGCGGCACAACACCATTCAGACGACTGCTCTTGTGTATTGGCGAGCCCAGAACTCGTCCACCGCCAGGAAATCCATTCGGTTCGGCTTGAATGTGATCCGGATGCGCCTTGCTCTCAGTCACACCATCTGTAAATCATGAGATTCATTTAACTTTCTGACTACAAAACTGATTGCACAGAAACTCACCGTCAGTCTGAGACTTCTTCCGCTTCTTCAGACACACGCACAGCGCAATGATCACCAGAAGCAGGAGAAATCCAGCACCAGCAGCGCTAGCTATCAATGGCAGGTTGGACGAGGTGTTCGGCGAGGATTCCGATGCTGCCACAACTGAAGGCGTGACTGTGGGCGCTGGCATGGGCTTCAGGGTCTTCCCAGTGAGAATTGAGCTGAATTCCGATGCCGCTGAAGACGTGAAGCTCTGCAGTTTGAACTCATACGCCGTTCCCGGCTCTAGATAATCCATGAGGAAGTGTCGAATGCTCATCCCATCCACCGTGGCCTTCGAGTACTCGCCCGCCGTTGACGCTGGACGAAAGTGAATGTAGAATCCGTCAATGGGCGTGGGCGGATTCGCCGGAAAGGCCCAGTAAAGCATAATCGCCGTCTCCGTGACACCGTCGACCTTCTGCAGATTGGGCGCCGCCAAGTGACTCTTGGCCACGCTCAACTGCGACGCCTTCTGCAAGTGGAACTTCCCAGATGTGTTGCCCAGTTTGTTGTCATTGTTTGAGTACACCGCGGCTATCCGGAAGCGATAGAGTTGATCGGGTTTGAGTCCCTGCACTTCGTACGATCGCACATGCGGCGGAATGTCCTCGCTGCAGGTCATCCACTGAGTTCTCGTGATCTTCCTCGCCGGATCCCCCAACATTCTGTACTGCACCTTGAAGAATTGAATGGGCAGTCCCTCCTCCGATGGCACAGTCCAGCGTACCATCACGGACTCATCGGAAAGCCTGGTCACACTCGGTCGCGATGGAGGAATCATAACAGCTGGAAAGATGGGAAAGAATACTAGAAAAGAGGCTCAATTTACAATGTAATTTCCTTACGATGCTTGTGCTTTTTCCTGTTGTTGCCTTTAGACTTTCCCGGATGATCAATGCTGGACTTTGTCGATTCAGGAACAGATCCAAGTGGAGAGACCTCAATTTCTCCGGGAATCTGTTTGGGATTGACTTGCAGAAGATTTCCTTCATTCACCTGCAAACAGAATTTAATTACTTTCCACACAATTGATAGAATAGTGATTATCTCACTTCTCCTGCTGCATTCTTGGCGAAACACTGCACAATACCCGCATGTCTCTTCTGTACAGACTTTATAAAGAGACTCGATTTGTTCGTGTGGATCAGCGAATCCCATTGAACGTCCACTCCATTGATCATCCACGTGATCATGGGCTCTGGATAGCCCTTTGCGTGGCAGTCGAGATGAAGCATGTCACTCTCATTGGTGAGAGTAGCTCGAGGCCCTTCGATTATCGTCGGCACTTCGAGGACATCCAGTCGAATGGTGTGAACCAGAACCGGAGAGATTCCGTTGTCAAGTCTACAAACGTAATTTCCTCGATCCTCAGGCGTGACTTTCATTATCTGCAGTCCGTATGGCACGAAGAGAGTTCGATTGTTCAGAATAGACACGTCTGGGCGACTCCAAACGGCTTGTGGCACTGGGTTCCCAATTCCAGGACACTCCAGGATGGCTGTGGCGCCCGGCTTCACCGTGATCACCAGTGGTGGCTGAGAAAGGAAGCTGGGAGCCGCTCTTGGCGTGTGTGTGACATTGAGATCAGTTCTTCTGGGGATCTTGATCTCCGTTCCTGTGATACTATTCACTGCAGAACACCAGTACGATCCTGAATCCTTGGGTGTTAAGGATGTAAGGATGAGAGCGCCCGAAGACAGTTGAAGAACAGACGAACGGATTTGGACGTTGTCTCTGCAAAATCGACAAGGTTCATAAGAATACTGAGATAGAGATTTGGTGGCTGGAAATTACTTGAAATAACTCCAAACTGGAGGAGGATTCGACACTATATCACCGCACTTAATGATAACGCTGTTCCCAGGCGACACTTGCCAGTGAACAATTTGAGGAGGATGATTTCGCCTCTTGGGCGATCCTTCGAGAATATTCACGCCAAAGGCATCTTGCTCGAAGATGTCTGCAAGGAAGACAAGCAGTCAAAATAATGCAACGGAAGATTATAGTGTTTGAGAACTCACTGTTGTCACTGCCCAGGGAAATTGTGGCTAGCGTGAGCTTGGCAGAAACAGACGCCAAGGCCGAGGCTCCGTACCAAGCAATGCACTGGTATTCTCCAATCGTCTTGGGACTCACGTAGATCCTCAGCTTACTCACGCCGTCTCTGAATGTAATGTTGTAGCCAGCTGTTTCGTTCAGGTACATCAGTTCGTTCTTAACACCTTGCAGCCGGAAGCGCCACTGCAGTCGCTCGGGCTCCACATTGAGAGCGCACTCGAAGAGCACCTCGTCGCCAAGAGGAGCCACTGTGGTCTCCGGCGATCGCACCATGTACAGGCGCAGTTTCGATGATGGTATCGACGTTGTCGCGGCCGCCAGGGCCAAATTGAGCACTACGAGAAGCGCGATCCGCCATCGCAGCAGCGCCATAGGAAATATCCGCCGCGAAGACATCATGACGTTATCTGCAAAGAGGAACAATGCATTGATTAAAGACACATCATCTAATTAAATCCATACCAAGGAAATGATCAATTATATTGTCTGAGAGCGGAGTTTTTATCTGGCATAAAACACCGCGGCACGAAATTGTATTGAATTTGCGTTGGTTGTGCCGTACAAGAGCCTCTTTTGGAGTGGATTAAACGTTTATTTTCACCGCTTCAAGAGAGGTCACATCGTATTTCAGCAATTGTACTATCTTAAGAGAAAAAACTGATTCTCTCTTCTGACAATTAATTGCAAATGTAGTGATTTTAATTTCCAAATATACTGCTAAAAGAGATCCGATTACCGAACCACGCATTTTTTCCCACTCTCTCCGGAATCCCAAGCTAATCTCCAAAGGCACAGTCTCCTCTCCGGCAAATTCCATTCTTATCTTGTCACATTTATTACAAATCCCAGCCTCGATTTACGGCAGCCAGTGACTTGTTTCTCCTCTCTTTCGTTTTCTCCACAAAACAAACCCGTGAGCATTCTTCTTATGCTCGCGCGAGACTCTTTTTTCGCTCTCTCGCGGTCACACGGCAAAAATCCGCCAATAAGTACAATAAAGAGACGATAAAAATAAAATAGCATTAACTAATGGTGCCCCTATATGGTGGATTATTATAACTTTATTGATTTTGCACATTATTTTTGTCACGAAAAACTCATCTCCCTCGCACTCAACGGCCATTCTCTGGCGTCTTTTATCGTGGATCACAATAACTATCGCGATGTCCTCCAGTGTCTTCTCTCTGTTCCTTTTCCCCCATATTGCCGAGCATGACCAACAAGCTAGCAACAAGTTAATAAATATTATTCACGCTATCCATTATATTTATTGTGTTGGTACCTCAAGTAATCTTGCCCTCTTATTTCACTTAAGCCATCTCGGGTGAATCAATTCAATTGACGAAAAATATTGGATTTCCCAAGTCTCTCGGCAATCTTCAGGCCCCGAAGAATGCCACATAACAGGTCTTATGATGTAGGGTACATTAAAAATTATGGAATTTACATACGAAATGGGTGATCAAGGTGGTGCAAATAAATTTTGCACACGACTATGCCACAAACACAGATTGCCAGCGTCTCGAAACTGATATTCGGAAAAGTATTAATTGATCGCGAGTGCCGATAACGTTTCAGGCGAGCCTCAGACTTGCCCCTAAAATAAATTAAACCGTGCAGATTGAAAAAAGAGACAGAGAGAGGAAGATTGAGGAGAGTTTAACGATCCCATATGTCCTTTCTTCCACCACAGCGTCCAGGAATTCCACCGATCGCACAATCCAATGAGACTTTCTTTCAGGTTCTCACACGCTGCCCAAACCCTTGGCATCTCTCTCACACTCTGCGCATGATAAAGTGGAATTTACAAAGTGGGCGACTGTCGAGCTTCACGCTCGGCGTTCTCTCACAGCTCTTCTCTCAGTGTGAGATGATGGGAAGGGAGGGCAAATAAATCTGTGATATAGGAGCCTTTCAATCTAATTAGAATACAGCCTTAATTAGTTTCCAGTGTCGCTGTACACCTCATTAATGGATGACGCTATCCACTCTTGATCCAATATTTTCCTCTTCGCTTTTATTGAGGTGTGATGATGACACTTTCGGGCCACATACTTCTTTCATTAGCAGCAGAAGCGAAACATCTCTCAGCAACAAGTTGATGTGGACTTATCAACACTCTGGCTTCTCTTTCTCACGTCACCATCGTGGAAAATCAGGGTGGAATTTCACAGGAAATTGAATTTTATATGGATGATAGAAGATGAAAGGGATTAAAAGGTCTCGCAGAGCGCGAGAATAGAATCCCATCACACTGTTATCGGATCAACTGAATTCCTGACGCCACTTAGATGATCTCTCGAGGGCTCTTGAGTCGACAGCTACAGTTGGGAATTTATTATTTTGGGAGAAACTGTGCTTAAATAGAAAAAAATGAACTAGGATTTATCTAAAAATGTTTCAGTGTTTTTCTCTTGAGCCTCTTACACGCAGAAGCAAAAACTAAATGTTCTATAAGACCGAATGTCCAGACCAACGAATGAATTCAAAGGATTCTTTCACACCTTCCAAGAATGGAAGCCCATTTCATGTGATAATTTTGTGCCTAATTATTTTACACCTGAAACATGGAGTGAAAAAACCCCTTCGCCCAATTATAGTCGAACAAAATCCCCAACTTTATTCAATTAAAAAATCTCATGGAAGTGGGAATTTTTACATCTTCCACAGTGAATTCCAACGATTTATTGACTATAATTGGCTGCTGGGTGAGTGATGATGATTGTTAGTAATAGAATAGCCCCTATTTTTTCTGACTCTTCTTTTCCACCACTAAATAGCCTCTCGATCGATTCAATTTCCATTCTTTTCGTCTCTTTTCCATCCTTTTGTCTTCCATACACACCGTCGAATTTCGGGCAGCAAAACCCATTAACCAAATATCTGATAACACAACAAAATATTAAACCGGTGTGCGACTCGCGATACACAAAGAGATTGTAGAGATGAGAATAGGCGCGAGAGAGGAGAGGAAAAAATAATTTTTCATGTTACATCCTCCTCCAATGTTCCATCTTCTCACTCGCACTCGCGCACATGTCTTTCTCTCTCCAGATCTTAACCAACGATGGTTAATCGAAAAGAGAATTTTTGATTGGATTCAAGACACAATTTTTATCGTTTCATCACCTTAAACATCATTTTCTTTCAATCCGCCTGGAAAAAAAAATTCATTCAATGTATAGTTTGGACTGTGAGAGAGTGAATTCCACTTGTGAAGACGCAGGGATTACAATAATGAATCCGATTATTTATCACGTTATTTCATTTATTAAAATCATTTTAACATGTTAGACACTTTGCTGGTGATGTTGATGTATACCCACAAAAGGGGCTGAGAACATTTAGTATTTCACCCAACAATGGCCATATCTTCTCGAGAGGCGCACACACATCACCCAATATGCTTTACATCTCGAGTGGCACAACAGAGAAATATTATACATTTTGCCGATTCAGCATTTTGTACATTTATATCTCGCCTTTTCACCTCTCTCTCCACACCCAATCATACCCTCTAGCGCGCCTCTCATCTCTTCTCCATACCAATTGCCCCAGAGAAGACGCACTCGATGGAGCGTGTGGGGAGAAGGAGGATGGCATTAAAAAAGCGAGACGAATGTAAAAAGATGAGGCACCTCCTTGAAGCAATTCCAGCACGTAATTATGAATGATTACTACTTGATGCTGAGCCAGGGTCGGAATGGGTGAGAAATTCCTCCAATGCACCCCTCATTGCACGCATTTGCCACTCTTCTTCCACCTCCGGAGATCAAATTGCGAGATTATTCGCGGTTTCGATCACAAAGCCATCAAACACATAAAGTATCATATCTTTGGCCGAAGTGGAAGGATGGCAAGAGGCAATTGCGAATGGCTAGCAAAACATGAAATGAAGCACATTTATTTGGGATTGTTGCACATGCGGAATTGCACTGATCGGAGCGAAGAATAAGTTGAAAATTATTATGTGCTCACCCCAACATTCAATGCTATTATTGTATGCAGAGAGAAAGAAAGAAAATGGAAAAGGCAAACCACACACAACACCTTGCTTATAAATTTCAATTTCGAGACACTTGGACTCAATTCCACCCATAGAATATGGGCACAGCGCGCAAAAGAAGTGTCCCTTTAATAAGCCCTTCCGTAACAATTTCGTCAATGTTTAGCCAGAGGCAGTTTTCAGCCACTTTTTGGACTTTTGGACGAGTCTGAAAATTTGATCATCAAACACATAAAGTCTTTCCACTGCAGATGAGGCGAAGAAATACCCGATGAAGTACTTTTTATCAATATTTCAAACGAGATTCCTCTTTCCAGTTCATCTCTTTCTCAAGCCATTCTAATTCAGCGGCCCTTCGAATCTCTCCTCTCTCTTCTCACTAAGTGCAAAGATATTTCTTGCTCTTGGCATCCCTCGATATTCGCCAAGATCCCAACATACAGACAGGCATATAAAGTACGAAAGATGAGCAAGTATGCATTTTCAGAGCGCGCATGCATGGAAGACTAATAGAATTGATGGACAAAAAGGTAAAAACGTCAAGAAATGATTCATCTCACGATCAGTCTGCCAGTACAAAAGTGAAATTTATGCTCCAGCATAGGTGTATTGTTAATAAGAAAATCAATAAATTACTAAATGATTTTCCATGTTGACCTTTTCCTCATCCATTCGCTCGACATCTTCTCTCTCTATCTCACATAGCGAAATCCAAAAACCAGTGTCATCAGCTAATTTTATACGCTTGACATCACACACAAATCATTCTTCAGTGTCAACAGCATTGTTGACGATGGAGAACTGCACAATTTCACATCGTCGGAAGCCCAGTCAATCGAAGAAGATTAATAATACCAGATGGAGAATTGTGCGAAGCCTTAATGGATAAATTACACACCACTTATTAATGGCCAGTTATTTGGCGGGGCAATTTTTGGGAAATTTCTTTAATAGAATAATTGAATCATTTACACTTATTCATTGCATAGCCATCACACTTCACTCACACGATCTATCAAAGATGGTAGGAAAAACATAATGGCTTCTAGAGTCTTTATTCTCAATTTTTTTTATTCTCTTTCTCTATGGTTTTGTTGTGCGTTTTCGGCAAAAGAGGCGAAAATTCATCGCGTGCTGATAATTGCTGGCACTTCTCCTGTGTCAAAATTCTCAGAAAGATTCACAAAATATCAGACACTTGGACAAGTTTATCCGGATCAGCTCTAATCACGTGATTCTTCCTGGATGCGAAATTCAATCCCTTCACTCTCTCGCTCTCTCTGGCGGAAGTACAAGTATCACATTATCACCTATTCAAAAGTAGTAACATAAGAATTGATGCCCTTTGTCATCCGATCTCGTATCTCCGGTCCTAATTATTCGATTTTAGCAGTTCGCAGCGCAATCAAGAGACGACACCCAATGTCTCGAGGCGCACACTCCAATTAATATCAAACCGATCAAGATTGATTGCTTACGTACCTCAGTCTCGTGTGAGGAATTACACAAAAATATGTAGAGTCTTGAAAAGCGCGAGTGAGGAAGACGAAAGATGAGAATGTAGAGAGGATGGTACTTAATGACTCGTGTCTAATACGGATATGCTCAAAAGCAGAGGCTTAATATTTCTGTGATACTCCATACTATAACATATAGAATTCGATATGGTCAATTTTGCGATCGTTCACCTCACGATCAATGTCCATTTATTGATTTTCATGCTGAGCCAAGTGCAATTTGCAATGAAGAAGATATTTTCAGCAAATATTTCACACCTCACATCGCCACAAAGCCATTAGCAACTCATCAAGTGTCAATAGATTGCAAGAAATGTCGCAGAGTGGAACAAGATCCCATCAAGTGCTCTGTATCGCAATTAAAGGAAAGACACACGCATCTTGGTACTTAATCATCTCCAGAGAATGCAATTAATGTATATAGTACACACAAGGCATTCAGCAATTTATGAAGATGAGCTTTGAAATCTTCACTCTGGTGAACTTAGTGTTTTCCCAGCAGAATTGCCGGGTGATGCTAATGACGCGGAATTCAATTAATAGATCAACTTCAGACGTTCACTCCATGTCTCGCAATAAATGACTCCTTTTCTTCCACATCTCTTCTCAAAGCGCTGCTTTTCATTTTCAATCTTCCCAAGCATGCGCGCATAGAAGATGAAAGTCGATTAATACTAAAGACACCTTAGACAACACAGCTTGCACTATATAGCAATATGGGGGAGAGAAATATATCTTGTTGTTATGCAAGAACACCCGCTAAACCATGCAAGTGTCGCTTTATATCATTTTACACATGGCAGTTTTGTTGCTCCAAACTCGATCCCACGGTAAATCATTTTCCTCCACCCATAATGCAATCTGTCTTGCACTAAGTGCTCTATTTTATCTGCACTCCCAAGCGTAAATTACAACATTTTAGGAGTAACTCTAAACCACTTTGTGTCATTAGGAGAAGCAATAGTGCAAGGAGTTTTTGTTATAGTTTCATTGACAGAAATTTCCGCAACATCAATCCCAAAGTTTACAGAGAAGAATAATAGCGACAATAGCTTGAGAATTTTATTTCTGACACCAATGACACAAAGAAAACAGATAGAGCTGGCTTTCGCCCAGCTCTAATACGTTTAAAATTAGGCATTTTGTTTCAATTTGCATTTTTTGATTACTTTTCTAGCCCAATAACATCACAGAGAGGGTTAAGGTTAGAAAGAAAGAAGCTATAATTCCCTACTACGTTCAGTCAATGTCTGTGTAGGAGTTATTAATCAATTGAAACATTTAATCGTTTTGTGCCTGGCATCGGAGCCGCATATGATAACAGACAGCTTAGCGGGCACGCATTATATGGCCAGCGAAAAGACCGTCAAGGAGGTATATAATATTGTGTCAATTTATCATCGTCTAGTGGTAATAATATCAACGACGAGGCACCTGTATGCCAATTTATGATGCCTTTACCGCATTTCGCATTTTATGGGAAAGCGAAGGGAATTTCAAGATGGTTGAGTGCCACACTAAAAAGCTCATGCGCTCATGTATTGGCGAAGTGAAAAAGGAGCCACGAAGACGATGAAGAGCCCAAAGTTCAGGTTAATTCTTTTACCCAATAAAAGAGTTCAATTTGCACTTCAGAGTTGGACTAGGAAGGTAGAATGACAATAAATTTTCACCCAATCTAGAGGAGAATCGCTTTGAGAGATTTTTGTTTTGTAATGGGATTAAAATTCAGGTGGGGTGTTTTTGTACATATTCGGAAAGTCAGGGTGTTATTTGCGATGTGATAAATCGATCCAGTACTGAGTTTGCGATGGAATTTCTTGCTGATTACACGGACAAGCACCAGCACAGGCGAGAGCTGAGCAGTTAGATGACCGCCGAAGACTTGTGAGAGACTCTGGGTGTGCAAAATTGCAGAGTGGAGTTGTTGCAAGGTACACGTCTCTCCTCAATGGTTCGACGATCGCGGTTAGCGGACCCAAAGTGTATTAAGTGACTCCGGGTGGAAGAAAACGAAGGGAGTGTATAGAGAGAGGGCCCAAAGAGCGCACGGCTGTATAAAAGGCATTTTAGACCTGGAGAATCGAGTTAAGAATACACATCACCAATATACTGAGGGATATAATTATAAGATCTCAAAGTGATCGAGAACACAAAGGATTCCATTGCAATTTTTCATTTTGCCTTTTTCTTAGCGCTCTCGATGTGCGAACTTTTTCCACCGCAACATCCCAAGAGATTTTTGCACGAGGCCATGCAATTCAACGTACCTTCTTCTTGTTCCCACTGATCATGAGTGGCATTTGCTCTTTGCGTCTCAGAGAAATGTTCAATGGATTCATCGATAAGTATATGTAAGTTTAAACTGTCTATTGATGTCTGGTTTTCGGCAACTGATCTATTCATAGAAGATCTTTCTCCCCGCAAAGATTGCCAAAAAAAGAAGCATAAGAGACGGCCAAAAAACCTCACATTTGGGTGTTAAGTTTAATGCCATTGTGAATTAACTATATCTAAATACACCTCAATGGATACTTTTGCGATTGAACACACAATAGGAAAAGCAATTAATTTCCTCTAGCTCACATATCGCGCTCTCTCTGTTCCACATAAGTGGATTATTACACTTTTTATCAATCAATTCATCGAAAACTAACAAGTGGTGATGATGATGTGAAGGAGTTTTCGAGCGGTCAGCAAATTCTTCACGCATATCATTAATCACTTGCTTCGATTGTTCCGAAAAAGAGATCCTCGCCTTTTTGAATACATTGTGTGGCTTTTTCACAAATTCATCACAATAATTTTCAATTTATAATGGAAAACACACGTTGCAACTCATCATCATGTTGCGAAGGGTCGAAACATTCGCCCATTTCACAGTGATCTTGCATTTTGCTAACTATTATTAACATTTTTCAACGAAATTGCGCGCACGATGCTAAATCACAAAAGATGCGATTAATGATGGGGAGAAAAACTGTGTGACTCATAAATACAAGATCACTATCATTTCTGGAATGAAATTGTGCAATTATGGAGGCATGTTTGAGATGCACTTCTTGTAATTTTTCGTTCCTTTATTATCTCATATGTGTGCTGTTCGCGGTACGAAAGCAGTTGGTGTTCCCATATCACTGCCATGATCGCGCAACTACCGCCAATAAAATTTACTATCAATTAAAGTCAATCTTTTCCTCGGTGTGTGCTTTTTTGCTGTGTAGAAAAACACCACTTTGCGCTCCCCTTGAGCCACAAGAGCAGAGCTCTCCGCATGGTGAGACTGTCTTCCTCATTAAATAAACATTAAGAAATTTGCTTCAAATGCATTTTAACTAAGACTCGCATTGCAGTAAATAATCTTGGCTGTTCAGTAGTCTCAACATAAAAGTTCACCATTTCCATTCACTGTCACTCTTTCGTCTCTCTCTTAATATTTGCAATTTATGTTGTGCGATCGGGGCGCAAAATGAGATCATAGAATGCAGAAATGAGATCAACTGAACACACTGTTTTGTTCTTACCTTCTATTTTCAGCTGAGATGGAATTTCTGGGCGACTCTGTCCATATTTTTCACCAGTTTGGCCTCTCTCGACCCGTGGAAACACACCTAGAAAGAGCCGAAGAACAAATGTTTAATATTTGATCAACTACATTCAGTCACACCGAGAGGCTAAATGTCATTTTCGGCTCGATAGTGAGCACTGATAAGGAGGACTATTGACACATGTTGGAGAATATTGCGTTACGCATTAATCAAAGAAGGGAATTTCACCCGAAAGACCCACAGCAATCGGCTTGGCGTGGCTCTTTGTTGGGACCCACCAATCAATTCCCCGCCGATCAACTTCTTCACCTTCTCTCTACCTGATCGGTAACGGGACCGAATCGCAATCGTGATATCTCAGCATCTCGAGAGCGGTTTTATGTCTCATGCGCCGAAGCGGTGCATCTTGTCTTGTTCCACCTGATTACCATTGAAGATCATATTCTCAAAAGGAATATCCAATATGAGACTCTTTTTATGCCGTCACAATTCAGTTTTCTCCTCATCAAGACACATCAGCTTTCCTCAATGACTCACCCGTTGTCTGACATTCTTTTTTCTTTGATGCCTCCAAAATGATCCCCGAGTGAATTAAAGAGTGTTGAAAGGAAATCATCGTTTTTTTCCACCACAACCGCTCTAGGTCTCTTCTTGCGATTCATCCCGCGGACTGCATTTGAGAGATGTTCTCATCCATCCTTCGACACGGCGAAGCATAATCATGTCTTGTGGTTTGGCCGTTATTGAAAACTTCCCAAAAAAGCACATCCCATTCAAAAGTGCCGAAATTAACTCTTTGATTTACAAGCTGATGATTAAATTTGAGCCCGAAATGGACACCTCTCGCCATTCAACTCCGACAATAGATCAGAAATATTCCCAATCATCGTTAACCCACGTCGATTAGCATTTCTGACACACGACTTAGTAGCTTTGATACCTTTTCGCGCACTGTACGCACAACATTGCGCAATTTATGCTCAATATAATGCTGTTCTCTCGCATGCAAAACGACAAATTTCTATGCATTTCCCAATCGCACTGCAAGAGTGGGACGTGTGGATAATTTGCGATGTTCATCGACAATAAAGTCTCAAGATCTGTCTGGTATGTTATTCAAAGTGCAGCATTGCCCTAAATTGTGCAGCGCACAACAAGACAATGCGTCTTGATCTGTGCAGATTGATTGAAATTACGCAAAAAACACCATAAATGGCAATGAGCGTGCGTGCCGGAAATCAAGATGCGTCCCAGACGCAAAGCATTAACATGTGAAATGCATCAAGCGAGTTTGTTGCACAACTTTAATTAATGGCTCAATTGAGAATCAAGCCCCGGGGAGAATGATTGTGGCGATTTTATATGTAAAATTTCAGCCGGAACCAAATGATGTCGCATGAGTGATGGATTGACACGTTTTGTGGGCTATAAATAGTGCCGGTGAAAAAGACACCACCCTCCATCTTTCTCTAAAATCAGTCATCATTGCCGCCTCACCGCTAGATCATCGCCGGTGACATTTTCTGGGCTGCATAAGTTGCAATTTGCTTACCACAAAATCTACACACATAATTAAAAGGAGCGAAGACATTGATGCCGCACGGCGTCCAACTATTTTCGATTTTTGACTGAAAGCCAAGTCGAACAAGCTTCTATTTTATCATGCAAGATCTTCTCGTGCATGTGAGAAAATTGTGCCGTGTTGCTGAGGGGATTTTCGCCAGAATTATGAGTAATGCGCGCTGTCAGAAATTTTATGGAGAAATTTCAGCGAGGCAGCAATGCTCGATATTTCCGCAGAATGACTGTGAATATTGTTGCTGAATTGCGAACACATTGAGCATACTTTTCACGTGTCAGTGACATAGATTCGGAGAACAAAATCCAGATTTCAAGAAGTTTGTATTATTTTCTTGATGCCAAACTTAAGGAGAATCAACAACATAGTGAGTGACATATTTCGTGCTAGTCTTAATCATGACTATTCCACTGTTTTCAGCAATTCTCGGAAAGAGATCTTGAAAGGTGAAATGCGTGGAAAAAAGCTTGAGTCAATTTCAATTTATTTTTGTCACAACAAATCTCTCCGCACAGTAAAATGATCTTGTAGAGAGCGTTGGGAAACAACCATGAGACTGTGGTTCCTAAAATCTGATGTGTCCTAATTATATTAATGACTCTTATTTCCGGCGCCTGTTTGTCATTTCCCAAAATGTTTTCATGTTTCTCCTGTAGGGGAACACTTTTTTCTACACCCTCGATTAAACTCAATGTTGAATTGTAAAATGTTCAAGGGTTTTTTTCAGCGTCCCTTCGCTTCAATTCCATTCTCAAGTCATTCAAGAATTATATATTGGATAATACATTATTTATCGTCTTGTTGGCCGGTGTCACTTTGTGTTGAGTGGAGAAAATGCGAAGTAAAATGTTATAAGAAGCATCCATTGTAGCATTTCAGAATGTCTGCCGAGAGACATGGACAGTGAGATTGACATATTGAAACAGTTCAGAAAAATATGCCTCTCTCAGCAACAATCGTCGTCTTATTAACAACACAAATGCAAGTCTGTTGATGGGGAACTATTGAAGAATTGTGTGCTTTTGTTCACACAATTTCCCGCTCAATTTTCATCATATTTGTGGGTGGACAGAGTGCTTCTCGTTCGGCTCATTTCAACGCAATGTTTTCTTTCCAGAGTGCCACAAATGATCTCTTGATTGGGTTGTTGCAACGCAACAATCAACACTGAAAGCGCCAATTGAAGTGCAATCGCCAGAAAGCAAAAACCTAGAGGTTGAACCTCCGCAGAAGATAAGCATATTGACGCTCACAGCCCACAGATTTGTGTGAAAAACTCACGCACAATGACCAATTGCCGCAGATCTCTTGAGACATAATTCACTTGCCTTCGAGGCTTTGGGGCGGATTATTTATCTCTCGAGTGATGCTAAATCGTTGGGAATATGGCTTAGGGGATATATTTGCGGACACAGCACGTGCACTGAAAATAGTATACAGTTTCAGGTGCTTGAGAACTGAGAGATTGTCTCGGAATTTTTTGGTAGCGGACATTCGTTTGTAGCAGCGTGAAAAATAGGAAAGTTGGCCATTATTTATCACGCAGAGAAATAGATGGAATTCTCACAACGTGTTTTTGCATTTCCATGTCATATTGGCATTTTGTAATTAAAAACCTACTCAATTGCCTTTTAGATTGATGTTATAATCTGTAATTTAGCATATCAATAAATTACACACTTTGCCAATCAACCAGAAAATATAATAACAATAATTCTTTTCCACCACACACTGAAAACTGTGCAGAAAACTTATTGACAACTTAACACTCTCGTCCGGCTAGAGCTGTAGTGTGATTAAAGGAAGTCTGAATAGCGCACTATGAATTTAACGATCCGAGGGCAGAAAAGAGGCACACACGCAACCAGAACCCCAATTTCCACTTAATTCACTGAAATCTACATCTGTCTGTCTGATACATCTCAATTCGCGTTCTCCTTCGTCCGCACAACCACTGATTTCGATGCGGCAGCGCGACTTAGAACGACTGCACCAATTTCAAGCATTCTCCCGCCATGCCAGTCTTGATGTTTACTGGAGTCGATGAATGAACACTCACGCGAAAATCTCCATCATAATGTTCCAAGAATGCGCCACACAAAAAGGCACAGAAAGAGCATTTGGATGTGCAACACTTCCACACCATCAAAACAACTCTTTCGACTCTAAGTCGCGCGATTGAAATTCAAACTGACAAGAGGCCTTTACAACATAATTATTTAATCCAACATAATATAAATTTAAAAATAGAACCAACGCAGTATTTGGCTGCAGCCGTGCATCGACATTGGCGCAGAGGCGAGCAAAAAGAAGTTTCACTCTTGAATCAGTGTTTGAGCAGTTGAGCAGGAGTTTCGGAATGGAGCAAAAAGACCCCACGATGTCTCAACTCTGGCACATCGCGAAAGCGTGGAAAACCGCACAAGGGGAAAATATCAGATTACCATTTTTTCATATGCCCCCATCTCAAGATCGTGATAAATATCATAATTTGGTGTTGTTCTCAATGAATTTGTCCCGTCGCTTTGATGGGTGGAACAATATGAGCGTCACATTATGGGAATTGTACGTGACTTCAGCAATTCGAGTGCATTCCACACAAACTCCCTTTCAATTCAGATTATCCAGAGTGCCGCAGGAGAACAAGCGTCTCCTGATGAATAATAAATTGTGAAGGCGAAGTAGGGAGTATTTAGTAGAACTCCGCGGCGACATTCGAAACCATTCAGCCAGCAAAAATTCAAACCATAAAGCAGACACTGGGCAAGATGTTGTACATGCATATTTTCGTTATCGCAGCCGGATTCGCAACTGTGCACCTCCATCATGTGCACATTATTCTCCATTGGATGCAGCTCTGCATCCTCGGAATTCCTCAATGCAATGGCATCTCAAATACACGCACTGAATGCTAAAGTCTCCTCAGCATTGCTCCTCTCTTTCATCCATTGAAGATGCAGGTCTTTAGTACTAAATCCTCACTCAGTAATCTTCGGATTTATCTCTCCTTAAGCAGTGAAATAGGCAAAGCCTGATTTTTTCACTGAAATTCCTCTCCTTTTAGAGCCCAAAGTGTTCAATTGTGTGAAAAACTTAATGAACAAATTGCTTCTGAGTACCGACCTCAATTTTGTCTTCTCCTCTCAATGAGATTTAAGCCACTTGCGATGAGTCATGAAGTGCCATTGGCATCTTCGCGTACCTTTAGCGTCAATGCACACTTACCAGAGAGGGCAAAAATCTGAAAATTACAGCACACACGCGCTCATTAATCCCCCTCCTGGACAAATTAATGTGACCAACAAGCCGAGATGAAGAGGAATCCCAATAAGATGATTAATGCTGAAGAGCAGAGAGGCAAGTTTTCACTCTTCTCACGGCTTCTGCTCACGCAGAACGATCCAATATTTGGTTAGAATGGTTCGGGGAATATTTTCTTAGAGGAAACAGAAAAACTCCACCAGACAATCAACTGCGCCTCTTT